CCTACAAAATTTCCCTCCTTGGTCCATAACAACCATCCATTTCAAGAGATGGATATTTCAGTTTTTCTTTTGTCCTCTTTGTCCAAAACTATGTCCATCAATTTAAATAACCAATCCGAAGGTAATATATGGTTGCAGGCAACTAGTTAAATCAGGTATATAGGTCAAATGTCTTAGAAAATAGTCAATTATTCGCTCTCAGATTGTAATTCTGGTTCTTCTGCTGATTTTTGACATTTATCATTTATCCTCACAGATAGGCATTAAACTTAAGAGTGTACATCTTTCTGTGGTTGCTGTAATGATTTCCAGCCCTGAAATGGACATTCATCTCAAAGGGCATGGCATTTTTTTAAAGATATAATTAGTTAGTTAGTTAGTTAATTATTTAATTATTTAAAGACGGAAGTTCAGTGGCCAATTTACACGATCAAAATATTTTCTTCTCAAATTTGAATATTTCCCGCGTTCGACTATAGTTAAACTCAAAACCACTCTTGCTCTAGGATCAACGGCCGTTGAAAGAAACTCTTCAGAAACTCATAAAAAATTATGCTTTAGGCAGTGGCGATTCTTAGAGGTTGGTAACCTGCTTTCCTCCATTCCAACGTACGTTAAACAGTCGATTCTAGGTGAGGGAACCTGCCTCACCTAGAATCAATATTTTGGATGGAGAAAAATTTGACCAGCTATAAAACATCGCCACTGGTCTCAGGAAATCTTTCTGGAATAATTGTCTGGTGGAATTCACGTCAATTTTTTACTAAACCATAATTTCTTACCGTTTTTTGCAACGTTTCTATGAAGGAAATTTAGCAACTGCCAAATGTTCCTACGACGTTTTCCTCAGCACGGCACACGGTTGATCGAGTCAATAGGAGAGGTCGGACGAAATGTGGAAACTTTAAAAGCTCATAACACAAAACTTTGAGGTTCTAAAAGTTGTTCCATCGATTTCCTCGTGGAATTTACTTTTTAAAACATCCCTTATCATTTAAAATTTGGCGAAATAAACATCAAAATTTGCCGTTTTAGTAGAAAATGTCTTGTCCGACCTCTCTGATTGGCTCGATCTACTAAGCGGCAGTGTGACCCATTGACTATAATCAGACTTTGCTCCCTCGTAAAGCGTATTTAACCCCCATCGCAATGCTTGAAACAGGGCTTCACAACCCTGTAAAACCTGGCTGCGGAGCGCCAACGATGTTCCATTGACAAGCGTTCCAGGAAATAAGTTGGAGGCACCAGAAAAGACACCACAGAGCATCCCTTCTCCCCAACCCCATCTCCCTTTGTGGTGGTATCGCGAGCCTCTTTAACACGTATTTCAGTGACCGCGAAGAAATCAAGGCATTCGATTTTGTCGACTCAAGTGCTAACATCACTGTTGCCGGACTGGGCCATTAAAATTTATTTTCAGGACTGATCAATAGGTAAGGTTTCAAGCGAGCTACATTTTGCGATTAATAACCTCGGTTTCTGGCTAATTTTATAAACAACGCATGTGCCATTAGTTTTTGGATGCTGATAGGTGCTATTATGGGTGAGCCGGACGTGGCAGTTCCTCGTCGCAAAATCGTGTCCAATAATTGAACCAGAAAGCTCTTTATCTTGCTTTGCTTTTTTTAAAATTCCTCTCAGATTTCATTTCGTGAGAAAAATATGAAAAAAAAAACAGGAACTGTCAGGAAGTGGGTGAAGGAAATGTGAGAGGCTCGGGGGATAATACGCATAAGTGCAGTTTTTTCCATCTCGAGAAATACGTTGTTATTTTGAAGTTTCGAGAATACATGGATCCTTATTGCGGAAAGAAAGTTAAAGCTCATTTTTTGATGCTTAAAATTGGAATTTGGGAACGAATTATTCACAGGAGATGCACGAAGACTAGTTTTACTTAAGATCATTAATATCTAAATTTTCCAAAAAACTGCACTTTTGCGCCTTGTCCTCCCAGTCCCTCATATGATCTGCGGTTGAATGAAATTACTTTGCCCCAAAGAGATTTTTCAATTTAAAAAAATCTTGAGGTGTAGCAAAATTTACGTATTCAATTAAATTTTATTATATTCATGCAGGAGGAACTTTTCCATTAAGGACTGAACAACCATTACTTTGAAATATTTAAACGAAAAAATGCATTAAATCCAAAATTATCTTCTAATTAAACGAAGAAACTTTTCTTCAAAACAGCAAAACTACTTTAGCCCTTAGATGATCAAAACCTTTTTTATACGCAATATGGAAATATACATATAGCAAGGGATAGGATGCACGGTGACGACGGCGCAGAGATGCATCTATTCGTGCTTGATGGATGTCCGTGTGGCATCTGCAAAATTGAAGACGCGATGGCGCGAGGCGTCAACTCGCTATGCTATGCTCTATACTGTCCCGCAAATTCGAAAAAAAAGTTAAAAAACAAGGCTCGAGTGCGTCTTTCCTATCTTCGACTGTGTTGACACTCGATTTGTTTTTTCAATTGACGTATGGTTATTCTTACAGGATGGATTTATAGACATATATCCAAAGCTTATTGGTACCGGCCCCGTACAAACCTCGGGCCACAAGTTTATATCAATCCTAGAATTATGATCCGACTTGGGCGCTTTCGGGTTTAGAATCAAATGAATTTTTTTTTTTTAAACGATGATAAAATATTCATATTCAGTATTTTTTTAAAAACTTCTTTGAGTAGGCTAGTTTGTAAGAATAACATCTTATTTCATATCTTTACTTACAATTTACAACTCATAATCTCGTCGAAACATGATGCAGACCCATTGGCTCATGTTCCCATTCCAATTATTTATACTTAGGGGTCTGTTAAAGCGTTATTATTCTCCGACATACCCATCGAAATTTCATATTTGCTGTAGTATACTTTTTCAACCAGGAAGCTAGAGCTAGAGAAAGAAAAGACTGGACAAAAATTTTGCCGAGAAACAGAAATGTTCAGTAGAAATCCGTGTACTGATCAATGGGCTAACTGATAATTGATGCAATTTAGGTTGATGTAAAATTTCTGCCGTGTTACGTAAAAACGCCGTATGTACATTAGGGCTTTGCCAAATTTCATCCATTTAAATGTTCACTTCCCAAAAAATTTATGAATATTTTCTCTAGAAATTTTCAGATGATTTATATCTAATCACGAATAAAATTTTCTGAAAAACTTCAGGAAATATTTGCACAGCTTTCCCTGAAAATTCGTATTTTAACACGGGAAATTTGGCAACGTCTGGTGGTTTATACGACATTCTTTCTTAGCACGTCAGATCGGTCCAATCTTTTCTTTCCACAGCTCCAAAAAACGCGTGGAATACTCATGCGAGGCACAGAGTAAATTTAGACGCATTTCTATCAAACGGAACTATGTGCATTATGACGTGAGTCCTGTTATACACATATTCTTATGGGTTTCAGGGCTCATGTGATAATGCACATAGTTCCATTTGATAGAAATACGTCCATTTTTACCTTGTTCGGTTTCCATGGTGATTTTCACGCAGTTTTACGAAATCAACAACTCTCCCTCTGTCTCAAAAAAAAAGTAAACGACGGGCTTCTAGTGATTTGTTGAGAAATGTGGCATGTAAGAAAACGAGAATGGCCCAGGCGTGAACCGGAAGTGTAGTCCGTTTCCGGAAAGGTTCTAGCGAGCGGCTCTGGAGTCTATTGTCGCCGCTGGAAAAGTTTTAATAAGTAAGTTGACCGGCGGTAGAGGCGCTGTTGCCAACGATATCGAACGATCTTAAATTTGACGAGAGGTCGCTAAGTTGGTGTAAGTGAAAGTGTTCATGTTTAGTGAAAAGGCGAATTACTCACAACAAATGGATTGCATTTTGCAAAAAGGAATCAAGAGAATTCGAATGTTGCTAGTATTGTGCTACTTACATTCTGTGAAAAAACTTACTAAAATCATGAAAAAAATTAAAATTGTTCAGGCACTTTTTGAATTGAATCCATAGTTTATCGGGAGGAGGTATGAATCTTGTTCAGATGATCGGTTTATATTTGCAAAGGAAAAAAAAATTGCACAATCTCAGCGACATTGAAATGCTCTTGGTTCCTTTTCGCAAAATGCAATCCAAATAAAAGAACGAAATGTCTCACATCACAGTTTGGCTTGTATAGCTGTTTTCCCGATAAAAAGACGCATGAATTGTGATGAAATCACGGTATCTGCAAACGTGCACTGAAAAAAAAGTTGTCTTGAGATATTATTTTGACTTAAAGCGTCGATTCTTGTCGTCAAAATTTA